GCTCAGGGCTGATCTTCCTCACAAACACACACAAAAAAAGTGAAAAGCAAATGTGGTTAACATTACAGTTGGGGAATCTGGGTGAAGGGTATATTGGAGTCCTCTGTGCCATTCTTATAATGTTTTTATAAGTATAAAATTATTTCTAAGTTAAAAAATGACAAAAAATAAAATAACCTAAGGTATGTCTACTCTTCACCACTTACATTGGTACAACTGTGGTTTAAGCCACATCCTCTTTCACTGGGAATATTACCACAAACTCCTGAATTCTCCCTTCTTTTACTCATCTCCTCTATAGTGTATTCCCAACCCACCAACTAAAGTGATCTTTCAAAATGTAGCTCAGAAGATGTCATTCCTCTTGTCACAATCCTCTAATGGCTTATTTTACTCAGAGTCAAATCAAAATTTGGAAAATGGTCTATGAGGCCCTACAGAATTTAAGCCTTCCTCCCCCACATGCTCTTTGATCTTATCTCCTACAGCTCTCTCTTCCATTGGTGTATTCCAACTATACGTAATAACCCCTTGCATTTCTTCAAACATCTCTGGTGTTTTCCTACCTCAGGCCTTTGCACAGGAAGTTTCCTCTTCAGGAGTGTTCTTCCGCCAGATATCTGCACAGCTTGTTCCTTCACCCACTTCACGTCTCTGACCAAAGGTCACTTCAGTGATTCCTTTCCCAGCTTTCATATTTAAACTGTCAACACTCAGCCACTTCCACCAGCACACCTCATCCCCTTTTCCTCCTTTATTAGGCTCCACAGCATTTATCACTGATGTACCCTATGTTTTACTTGTTTGTTGGCTTGTCTTCTTGCTCTTTCCACTAGAATTCAAGTTCCTCAAGGACAAGGCATTCTGTTTTTTTCTTTTGTTTGCCTCCAGCACCCAGATCAGTGCTTCTCAGATAATAGTTTCTTAATAAATAATTGTTGAATGAATGAAATCAAACATCCTAAAAGTTTCCGTAGAGGAAAAAAACAAATAATCTATAAAAGAATTAGAAACAATTTAGCATCAGACTTTGAACATATTGAATGCTAGAAAAAATATGAATGGTTTTGAAAGATGATTGTAAATTTAGAATTCTGCTTTCAACTGAACAAGTGTTCGAGACGAAAAGAAGAGGAAAGGCATTTTCTGATACATGAACACTCATCAAGTTTACTTCTCTCAGATCTTCCCTGAATTATTAAAGTATATTCCAGCAAAATGAAAAAAGATACATGGGATACCAAAAATATAGTAGTGAACCAAATTATAAGTGAAACACAATTAAATCTAAAATGTTACTGGCCCCACAAAACTAAAATGCTCAATGGTTTCAACATGATGGGAATGGGGAAAATAAAAGGAAGGAGTTGTATGTTAAGATATTTGTCTCATTGGGGAGGAGGTTAAAGATAGTATTTAACTGTAGAGAAACCAAAAAAATGAGTTTAAACTCTCAATGAAAAGAATGATCACTTGGAGAATAGAAGTTGGTGTAGCTTGCAAATTATAAGAAGGAAAAATGGAATACAGTAAACTCAATAAATGCAAGCAAAGGCAGGGAGGAAAAAAATAAAACAGAAAAAAAAATCAAGAAAACATGGTAAGTAGACAAATTTAAAAAGGAAACAAGTCCAGACATATCTAAAATAATAATCAATATATACCATTTATATTGTTCCTTCCTCCACTTACAAAAAAGAGAAATTATATACAACTCTGTTAATATACTAAAAACCACTGAATTGTACACTTTCAAACAGTGAATTTTATGGTACATAAATTATATCTCAATAAAGTCATTATTGAAAGAGAAAGAGTAAAAAACCGTGTCTGAACTCAGCATCTGGGGATGAGGAAGGAGAGAGAGAATCATCATTGATAAAGGCAAAGAATTAAGACAGAGCATCAATGATGCTACGTGGCTGCCTTTGTGTTGGGAGCAGAGGAGTGAAGTAGAACTCACAGGTCCCTGGCTAGACAGCTTGGCAGCCACAGTGCCAGTAAGCTTTGGGTGACCTGGCCAGGCTCATGATAAAAGGCCTGGTCCCTCCGACTTTATTCTTCATTCCTCTTTGCTTCCCACTCCATCCTTGGATTCACTTCCTCCTACAGCACCCTGAAGAGATGGGATTGTGGGTAGACTCAGCTTCCTGATCATTCAACACTACAAAACAAGCCCTACCCAGTCATGTTCTTCATAGAGCTTATCACTGTCATCTCACTTTTTCTTGTCCTCCATACCCACCCTTGCCCCCAGAAATGAAGGATCCCTGAAAGCTGTATAATCCACCATTGTGCCTCCAGGGCTGGAGGAACACCTGTGCCAGGGATCAGAAGCCAAAATCACAAAATCTTAGCATTAGAGTGAAACCTAGAGATCGTTGCATCCAACACACCATTTAAACTGAGGAAGACGCAGTAGCCCACACAGGAACCTTCCTTACCTAACACAGTAGTCACTAACTGAATCTCACGTCCTCTGTTCCAGTCCAGAACTGCTCCTATGACCCAGCACTACCACAGAATGACTCTAGAGGCCCAGAGAAGTGAAAGGCAGCTTCTCAGTGGCAGAGCCATGCTTTCCTCCTACCCCCATGTGCCCCTCTTCAAGGACACCAGTTAGGAGCCAAGATGAATACCCAGCCCCAGCTAAAAGAGGCAGAACAGGGAGAAAAGGTTGTTGGTGGACAGATGGCTCCCTGTCTTTGAGATATCCTTAGAACAAATTACATTTTGTTATGTTTGTTTAAACAAATAGGAGCATTCACTTTAATCACTCTGGGAAGAATCAAGCAGCATTTTATCCAAAATATTTTGAGAAAAGACTCTGGAATGACAGCTCCACATTAAGGATCACCTCAGGGTAGCTAAAAAAAAATTGTTTAAAAATATCAGAAGCAGTGTCGAAAACAACAAAACAGAAATGTCAATTCTAAAGAAATCCATTTGAGAGAATTATATGCCTAAGTAACATATTAAAAAGTCCCCCACAATTTTTTTCATGGTTGCACTCTCTCGCAGTCATCTTCCTTTGCCTACCCTATTTCTGAAGTTGGAAAGGAATCTCCTGGGTCTTCAACTAACACTGTAAAAAAAAATCTTGCTTAGACAGTTTCAAGTAAAGTTAGATCTCCAGCCTCACTGACCAAAAAAATCAATTCCAACCAACAACGGCATTCTGGGTTTGGGTTATTATTTCTGCAGGCACTTGCAGAGTTAAACATTGTTTCTGACATTACAACTTCTGGTTACCCATAAGGGAAGTGAAAGCTGAGGTCGGAGCCCCATGAGGTTGAAACTCAGAGGCTTTGTGTTTGTACAGAGTGAGAGGCACACCGCTCTGTAAGCTACCTTATACCTATTTTACCACCTGCTTTTTACAGAATAAGTAGTCTGTGAGTTCTTTCCATTTCCAGAGAGAGTTTTGCACAGATCTGTGGGTCTGTAGGTATTAAAATGTGCTGTGAATTCTGATCCTCACGTATGTTCCCCATCTTCTTACTGGAAATATTGCTTCAAAGAAATATCTTGTTGCCCAAGGATTGTGCTTTGTTCTCATGAAAGGGTAAGTCTGTGGGATTCTGTTCCTGGAACTTCCAAGTGCCCAGTGCTACTGTGGTCTTCTTGCCACCCCCACCACATGATTTGGCCTACTTAATCCACCCAACCCCAAAGACAGAGAAACAACACGGTGGGTAACCAGAAAGGGAGGAGGGCTGTAGACAGACAAAACTTGGTGTTCAGCAGTGCTAGTAACTGTTCCCTTCTGCACCACTATGACCATTTCTTGTGTTTAATTTTCAAATTGTTCATCTTCTTCTACATTATCTTCTTTTCTTCACAATAACTGTCAGAGTTTTATCCCCTTTTCTTTTCTCAGTGTTTCTGTTTTTTATTTTATTACAAAAAGAGGCAACTAAATTAAAGAAATTAAAGAAAAATTAGAAGATGGACAGACTTTTTCCACTCTTTTAAATATTTTAATATATTTTCTGCTAGTGTCTTTCTATGTATCTACATTAGTGAGATAGAGAGTTATAATCACATTGTACCTCAATTTTCAACCCGTATTTTTCATAGTAATGTATCAAAATACTTAGCCTTGAAGTTTCTGTACTTTTAAATGACTACAGAACATCCCATCAAATGGACATCTTCAATGTTATTTAACCAAATTTTCGGCAAAGCGGTGTTTCTAACTTAATGTTGTTATAAATAACTCTATGATAAACATTTTTGTGAATTAAGCATTTTATATATTTTGGATTATTTCCAGAAGGTGGTATTCAAGAAAAGAGTGGTCATATGACATACGAATATTTGTGGATCTAGATTAATAGTGCCAAATTGCTTTACGTTGACAGATACAAAATATTCATTTAAAATAAAAACTTTATTCCTGCTTTCTAATTTAAGATATTCCTACCAAGCACTTTTTTTAAATACTTTATCCAAATGACTTAAATCAAGCAAGAATCTTTAGTCACTGTTCTTTACAGCAATCTTTACTCACAGAATTCTGAAATGAGCAAAACAAGGGGCTGTGGGTAAACACTGTCCTCCAGCAAATCATTGTCCCTTGAAACCTACACCACACAGTCAACCCTCAGCAAGCTAAGCCAACGATGAAAGAAGACTCTTCCAGAAGTTCTACAGGTATTCTCCTGTTCAAATCGTGCCTTTACTTCACATCTAAAGAGAGCTCTGGAAAAATCATTGACTTCTGTCTTGGAGCCCAATATAATCTGCTAACAAGTCAAGATGCCACAGCCAACAGAACACCTGGAGAGGACTAGGACTGGAAAACGACTTTGGAGAATATTGAGCCTTTTTATTAGGAGAAAGATGGCATTTCATTTGAGAATTAACCAACATCTATGGTTGGAGGACACCATATCTCCAAGGTTAATGTGAGGTATAAGCTTACTCAGAGCAGTAAGACCTTCCTCAAGTCAAAGTTACTGAGAAATTAGCCAAGCTAATCTGCCAAGGCTCATGCTCATCACATTTTCAGTCCCAGGTACCTCTGGGTTTATGCTTTCTCATCAACAATGGGCGTGTCCATTCGAGCACAATTTATTGGTAATGATAGCTGCCGTGTCCTGAGTGCTTCCTTGGTTCCTGGCACTATGATGGAAATTTCACATTCATTACTTATAATCCTCCCAAGAAGTCTAGGATGTGGGTATTTTTATACAAAATATCAGATGAAGAAATTGAGGCTCCGGAAAGTTAAACAACTTTTCCAGGTTTAATCAGCTAACAAGTGCCAGCAATAAAGCCCGAATATTGAGCGCCACTTCATAGGGCTTCAGCAGTATAGAAGTTTGCCCCCTGAGAAAAAAAGTGGACACTCCATCCCTGCCACATCCCTGCTCTCCTCTGAGCCGGGGATTCTCCTAGACAATTGGTCCTTGTTTCTCCATTGCACTTGTTTATATCTCTATGACTAGTTGCTAGGGTATTTAAAGGCAATTAATTTGAATACTAGCAGAAGATTTGGAGAAGTCTTCTTAAAGACTATCAAAATAGGCCCACTTGATATCCTCTAAAGCCAATAAATGTTTGAGAAGCAGTTCATCAGATTGCAATAAAATAGAAAAACAAAACCACATTAAAATTTAATTACCCAAATTTAATTTGTCCTAAAGATAGAGTCCTGAGCCCTTTTGTTCATTCTTTTTCACTTTTTGAACTACAAGTCCTTAACTGTCCCATTTTGAGACTGGACATCACACTGAGAGATTATTATGATGGGCCCTAATCAGCTGCTCAACCCTAGATGTATCTAACCCAAGGAGGGCCATGTCTAGCCGTTGATGGGCATGAGGGGCTGGTATCTGTAAGTGCTGGCTGCTCTGGGCCCAGGGATCCCTGGATGAGCTGGGACACAGCCCTCTCCCTAGTAGTGCCAGACTTTAGTCACGCCGTGCCTCTCTTCTGACAGCTTTTCACCTGGTTCCTGGTTTGCTTCCCAGCCCCCTCTGGGTCTTGAGCTTTCCTGAACCCCATCCATCTCCCCTCACTCTGACACTCCTTCCTTTCACTTCATGCCCTCACGTCAATTTAGATGTAGCTCTCTGATCAATGATCCTCCTAGGACCAGCTGGCCCCTCAAATATTGGTTGCAGCCTGGCTCTGAACTTCTTTAGGGCCTACTTCCTCTCTTATTTCTGCCAGCGCATTTCCAAGGGCTGTTCCTGCTCCCCTTTGTCTTTGCCTTATTTCTAATGGAACCTCTGAAAGGATTCAAGCTTTGCCTTATACTCTCATTGCCTCACCTCTTCCCTTAAAGTTTTTCCTCTGTCCCATCCCACATGGGCTGAAGTAATTTCCTGCAGAAATCCCCAGAGTAGGAGGAGGTGCCAATAACTTCCTCAGTTTCCCATCTAATTCTCAGCCCCTTTTCTCTTGGTTTGCTACTCAGCTGCCTCTGAACTGCACATTCTAACCATGACCAAGGCGAACTCTAAGATTGGACAATTTAGTCCCCTCTTACAACAGTGACTCATGGCTCTCAGACGTGTGTGGCAAAGGATAAGTTTCAATATTTTTGAAGAGAGGAACTAAGTAGCTAGGAGCATTTGATCCTCTTACAGGAAGAGGACCACCAATTTGTCCATTATTAAACACTGGGTGAGATCCATGTAAGAAGTTGAAATGGATAGAAGAAGCTACTAACCATTAATGCTGGATGAAGGAAGAGGATCAGAAAACTTCTTGGCAGATTATTGTACAGAAAACTCATCACTGAAACTGATGGTCAGATAAGATGACCAATCCTGACATTCTGTAATTTAACAAAGACCTGGCTTTTGCAGTCATATCTTACTCCATCTTTTAGCGCACTCAGACTTCCACCTTAGGCTCAAACAACAGAACTATTTTGTGATAGTTCTGGTTACTAAACAGCCAAAGGCACTGCTTTCTGAGATTCCAGTTCACCCTTTAGCTTCTTAAAGCTACCATATACCAATATCAGTAGCTTCTCTGGATTCTGGCCACAGAGTTACCCTCAGCCCTGAAGGGCTTTAAAATAGAGTACTCAAAAAGGACATGGACCTTAAAGTTCCAAGACTGGCCAAGGGGGAAAGGCATTTACTAGAGCTCTCAAACCTCTGTCATTGACTTGGCCTGAATATTTTCCCCTGGATGATGTTTTTTCATCTCAGATGACATCCTAGTATTGCTGTTAATATTCTATATTCATTTATTTATAGCTACAACTGCTATGTAAAATGAGAGTAGAAATGTCTTGCCTTTCCCATATTTTCTGAGTAGGATGTTATAGTGGGGTTGAACAGTGGCCAGCCCCCAAAAAGATATGTCCAAGTCTTAATCTCAGAAACTTATGAATGTGACCCTATTTGGACAAAGCATCTTTGCATATATAATTATATGAGCAATGTCAAGATGAGATTATCCTGGAGGAGAAGTCAAGACAGCAGCATAGGTGGACTCTGAACTCACCTCCTCTCATGGACACAGCCGATTTACAACTACTCTTAGAAAAATTACCCCTGAGAGAGAACTGAAAACTGGATAAGAGGAACCCCTGCAACAAACGACAATCCTAATTGAGGTGGAAGAGGCAGAAATTCCCTTCTGGAGAGAAAAAAATGCCACCTTCACAAGCCACAATGCTTCATGGCTACCCAGGAGCAACACAAAGGTACACAGCCTTCCCTGGAGGAATGGGGGAACTGAACCCGGGAACATTCCCGCTATAGGCATTTTTTTGGACCAAGCACAACCGAGATGAGTGTAATAATATCTGGCTTTGCGGGCTACTAACAACAACAGGGAATACCCCCAGAAAAGCTGGGTCACAAAGATATTAAAGCCAGCTCTTAAAGGGACTATGCACAAATTCACCCATTTCAGAAAGCAATCTAAAATCACCAGAAAGGTGCACAGTCCTTTGGAGGAAAGAGACTCACCTGATAAGCTCTGAGTGCATCTCAGTGAGAGGTGAGACCTCTCAAGGGACTGGGACATTGGTGGCGGCCATTGTTTTGACATAGTGTGGGCATGCTGGCAAACACCATTGGAGTTCTCTCTGTGGCCTGGTAGCCCAGGGTCCGCCCAACCCACTAGAGCACTGATTTAATCCAATTCAACCAAGGAAAACAGCCTGCCTTAGGAACGGGCCCCACCAAACAACAAGACCTTGGGCAACTTGTGGGCCTGCTAAGCAAGCTACCTAGATTCTCTGCAGCCTGGTGAGTGGGTCCACCTCTGTGGGGCAGGGCATGTGCAAGGAGTGGGTAGAGAGTGTGGGGTGTTGGTAGAGTGAGTGGGCTCCTGCCTTGGAGTGACTGGGTCCACTTCAGGGGGTCGGGGCGTGCATACAAGGTAGGACTGTGTTGACTGTGTGTGTGGCCCTGTGGGTGGTGGGGTTTGTCAGCTGCAGAAGACTTGTGCTTCTCAAACGGCTGCATAGGGGATCGGCCCCACTTTTCAAAGCATGAAACAACTGGGTGCTCCCGTGCCTGAGGCCAGCCCTACCGAGCTGCAATCCTCAGAGAGCTGACAAGAGGCTTATAGGCCCCAGACACATAGCAATTGTAAGCTCCTGAGCCTAACAACCAGCCACATTGAGGGCCTACTCACTTAATAGAAAAACTGCAACAGAGATGTGCAATTAGACCTTGCAGCCAACTGTGCTGGCTGTTCCCCATACCTGACAAAGAGACTGAAGGGCCCACAACTACACATAGCTGAGCATTGCAACCAGCCAGCCGGGGGACAGCTCAGCCTCCCTGGGCACCTATGGCAAAAGCAACCCCACCACAACAGAAGGACACATGTAGCCCACACAGGGGTCACTCCTGGAACATTTGGAACTGGTGACAATGCAGAAGCACACTGCTTGGCCTCATAAGGCATCACTTATATAAGGTTACCTCTCCAAGATCAGGAGATGTGGCTGACCTACCTAATACATAGACATGAGCACAGGGAAAGAAGCAAAATGAGGAGGCAAAGGAACACGTTCCAAGTAAGGGAACAGGTCAAAACCCAAGAAAAGGAACTAAATAAAACAGAAATGAGAAATCTACCCAACAGAGAATTCAAACAAAGAGTCATAAGGATACTCCCTGATTTGGAGAGAAGAATGGATGAACTCAGTGAGAACATCAACAAAGAAATGGAAGATATAAAAAAGAACCAATCAGAAATGAAGACGACAATACTGGAAATGAAAAATTCACTAGAGGGACTCAAAAGCAGAGTAGAGGATACAGAAGAATGGATCAGCGAGCTGGATGAAAGACTAGAGGAAGTCACCCAAGCTGAAAAGATAAAAGAACAAAGAATTACAAAGAGTGAGGACAGTCTAAGGGACTTCTGGGACAACATCAAGCACACTAACATCTGTGTTAGATGTGTCTCAGAAGGACAAGAGAGAGACAAAGGGGCAGAGAATCTATTTCAAGAAATAATAGCTGAAAACTTCCCTAACCTAAGGAAGAAAACAGACATCCAAGTACAAGAAGCACAGAGAGCACCAAACAAGATAAACCCAAAGAGGCCCACACTGAGACACATCATAGTTAAAATGTCCAGAATTAAAGATAGAGAGAATCCTAAAAGCCACAAGAGAAAGACAACAAGTTACATACAAAGGAAACCCCATAAGGCTATCAGCTGACTTCTCAGCAGAAACCTTACAGGCTAGAAGAGAGTGGCACGATATATATAAAGTGCTTAAAGGAAAAAAACTACAGCCAGGTATACTCTAACCAGCAAGGTTATCATTCAGAATGGAAGGAGAGATAGAATTTCCCAGACAAGCAAAAATGAAAGGAGTTTATCACCAAGAACTAGTCCTACAAGAAATGCTAAAAGGACTTATTTAAGGGGCAAAGAGAAGACCACAAATAGGAAAAAAATATCTATTTCCATGATAAGAGGGTAATGGATACAAATGCATAAAAAGGAGGTTAGATATGATATCAAAAACATAAAATGTGGAAGGAGGGGAGTAAAAGAATAGAGCTTTCAGAGAAAGGTCAAACTAAAGAGACCTCAACTTAATATAGATTGCTATATATGTAGGTTACTATATATGAATCCCATGGTAATCACAAACCAGAAACCTATAATAAATACACAAAAAACTAAGAGAAAGGAACCCAAACACAATATTACAGAAAGCCATCAAACCACCAGGGAAGAGAGCAAGAGAAGAAGAAAGGAACAGAAAGGAACTACCAAAACACAGAGGAAAAAAAGTTAAAAAATGGCAGTAAGTACATACTTATCAATAGCTACTTTAAACGTCAATGGACTACATGCTCCTATTAAAAGGCATAGGGTGGCTGATTGAATTAAAAAAAAAGACCCATATATATGCTGCATGCAAGAGACACACTTCAGAACTAAAGACACTCACAAGCTGAAAGTGAAGGGATGGAAAAAGATATTCCATGCAAATGGCAATGAAAAGAAAGCTGGGGTAGCAATACTCATATCAGACAAAATAGACATTAAAACAAAAACTGTAACAAGAGACAAAGAAGGGCACTACATAATGATCAAGGGAACAATCCAAGAACAGGATGAACACTTGTAAATATCTATGCACCCACCCTAGGAGCACCTAAACATATAAAGCAATTATTAACAGACATAAAAGGAAAAATAGACTGTAACACAATAATAGTAGGGTACTTTTACACTCCACTTACACCAATGGATAGATCATCCAAACAGAAGATCAATACGAAACATTGGCCTTAAATGACACACTAGAACAGATGGACTTAGTAGATATATATGGAACATTCCATCCAAAAACTGAAGCATACACATTCTTTTCAAATGCACATGGAACATTCTCCAGGATTGATCACATATTAGGCCACAAAACAAGTCTCCATAAATCTAAGAAGATTGAAGTAATACCAAGCATCTTTTCTGACCACAAAGGTACGAAACTAGAAATCAACTATAGGAAGAAAGTCAGAAAAGCCACAAACGTGGAGATTAAACAAAATGCTACTGAACAACGATTGGGTCAATGAAGAAATCAAAGGAGAAATCAAAAAATACCTGGAGACAAATGAAAATGAAAATATGACATCCTAGAATTTATGGGATACAGCAAAAGCAGTTCTAAGAAAGAAGTTTATAACAATACAGGCCTATCTCTACAAACAAGAAAATTCGCAAATAAACAATCTAACAGTGCATCTAAAGGAACCGGAAAAAGAATAACAAACAAAGCCCAAAATCAGTAGAAGGAGGGAAATAATAAAAATTAGAGCAGAAACAAATGAAATAGAGACCAAAACAAAAAAAAAAAATAGAAAAAATTAATGAAACCAGGACCTGGTTCCTTGAAAAGATAAACAAAATTGACAAACCTTTAGCTAGACTCATCAAGAAAAAAGAGAGAGGACTCAAATAAGTAAAATCAGAAATGAAAGAGGAGAAACTATAATGGACACCTCAGAAATACAAAAGATTATAAGAGAATTCTATGAAAAGCTATATGACAACAAATTGGGCAATCTGGAAGAAATGGACAAATTCTTAGAATCATACCACCTTCCAAAACTGAATCAAGAAGAAATAGAGCATTTGAATAGACCAATCACCAGTAAGGAGACTAAAACAGTAATCAAAAACCTCCCCAAAAATAAAAGTCCAAGACCAGATGCCTTCCCTGGTGAATTCTTCCAAACATTCAAAGAAGACTTAATACCTATCCTTCTCAAACTCTTCCAAAAAACTGAAGAGGAGGGGAAGCTTCCTAACTCATTCTATGAAGCCAACATTACCCTGATACCAAAACCAGACAAGGACAATGTAAAAAAAAAGAAAATTACAGGCCAATATCACTGATGAACATCAGTGCAAAACTCCTCAACACAATGCTGGCAAATCACATACAACAATACATTAAAAAGATTATACACCATGATCAAGTGGGATTTATTCCAGGGATGTAGGGATGGTTCAACATCCACAAATCAATCAACGTGATACACCACCTTAATAAAATGAAGAATAAAAATCACACGATCATCTCAATAGATGCAGAGAAAGCATTTGACAAGATACAGCATGCATTCATGATAAAAATTCTGAATAAAATGGGTATAGAAGGAAACTACCTCAAGATAATAAAGGCCATATATGACAAACCCACAGCTAATATCATCCTCAATGGTGAAAAACTGAAAGCTATCCTTCTAAGAACAGGAACCAACCCCACTTTCACCACTCCTATTTAACATAGTATTGGAAGTCCTAGCCAGAGCAATAAGGCAAGAAAAAGAAATAAAAGATATTCAAATTGGAAAGGAAGAAGTGAAACTGTCACTATTTGCAGAGGATATGATTTTATATATAGAAAACCCTAAAGAACCCACCAAGCAAGTTTTAGGAATAATAAATGAATACGGTAAAGTTGCAGGATACCAAATCAACATAAAAAAATCA